ACTCACAATTACTGTCATCAGATTGACGAATTTTTTTCCACTAGGAACTGCGAGTTCAATCCTTGTGACTGTCAAATTGTCTAAACCCTTCTTCCGCATTATGAGTCCCAGTAACTTCAGGCGTCTCTTTTTGATTCTTCCATTTTCCTTAATACTTCATTACAAATATAAGTGGTACAAATATATGAAGCCCAGTATGTCTATCATGATTGGTTTGGTTTGTTTTACGGCAAATCATCCTCAATCGGTTATTTAACGCCGACAAGATTTTTAATGCTGGTAATTTGTTTTTCTAAAATGTATTGCTGGTAATAATTTTTTACAAAGTATTTCTGGTATTAAAACCTATTTTTACACTTTCATAGTGTTTTGACCCCAGTTTGGAGGTTAACTATTTACCCATAGCTGGGGCCTTAACAGGTCCTAGCACCTCGGGTCAGCGTGGACCTGGGAACACCAGCAATTAAGAGGTGGTCCAACGCTCTTCAAAGCCTTCTGATCAGAAGCCTTGGACGTAGTTTATCGTCTTACCCAGGACGCGGATGTTGTTCATCATCTTACCCAGGACGGTGTCCATCATGACACTCAATACCTGGCACATGCACCACATCTAAATATGTGCGATATGATGTTAGCATTTTATAAAAGCAACGCACAAACTTACAGGCGAGGCCCAGTTAGAAATAACGTTAGATCAATTAACCCAGCTCACTCAGGCAGTCTCCGATTTTTATTAATAATAATATCATGATAATGATAATATTAAATTATCAACATCATCATAATACAATAATAATAATAGTATAATCTCCACCATAATAATATCACCACCACTACTACAATAATAATAATAATAATAATAATAATAATAACGATCTCCTACTTATACCATCACTACACTAGTATAAACACTGTAACGGAAATTATAATCCCTATGAACATAGTTCACTTTCTGTTGTAACCTAGGGAAGGTTACTGAATAGAATAATCAAACGAAGGTTGGTAATAAACGATGATACTTAGGACAAGAACAACACATATAAGATTTGCCAGCGGCGCGTAGAAGTAGTAGTTAACTGCTAGAAGTGAATCAAGTGAATTCCACAATGTATCTCCAACTGGAGACCAACATACAGTATTTACTACTGTATTTATGTGAATGGGAACATACCCATTATCATCCATAGATATGCTACAACACTTTCTTTTCCATTTTGAGGCATGTCAATGTCAGTGATAAATTTGGAATAAGACGAAGGAGTTTTGAATGCAGAAAAGAATTAATATTTAAACAAGCTTCAGAAACAAATATTCTAGTGAAATTGAGTGACTTTGAATATTAAACCAATGTTATGTGTAATAAGAATATAATTATGATTACTTCTAATAAGATTCCTCAAATGACTTGGTGTGTTTGTATAGAAAGTGATCTTCTATGTGCCGTGTCCCTTCAGGACGTTAGCGACATGGCTCTCCATAATTTCCAGTTCTTTGCAGTCCTTAATAACTTTTGTCTTTTTATTATCTCTCCTTACTCTACCATCCATTTGCTCAAACTCTCTAGGTAGGTTGTATGTCGTTTTCCTTTGTCCCTCTTGCTTCAATCTGCCCCATGAGTATCAAATTTTCCAAACCCTCTTTCCTCGTTATGAGCCCTAGAAATTTCAACTATCTCTTCCTGATGTTAAATATAAGTCTTTTGTTTCTATGTTCTCTAAAACTTCGTCGTTGCTCACATATTCGGTCCAGTGTAACCTCGGCATCCTTCTGTAGAACCACACTTCTGTTCCTTCAAGTTTCTTCATTTGTGAGATTTTCCAACTTAAAATGCCATATAGCAAGATAGTTCAGTACTCTTTTCTTTGTTTCTAACGAAATTTTTCTGTTTCTTAATACTTTGCTTAGCTTTTGAAAGGTCTGTTTCGCTATCTCAATGCACCTCCGGATTTCAGTGTCGCACTTTCCGTTTTATGTTAAAAGACTTTCCGAATATTTCAAGTGCTGATTTTGGTATCTTCAATTCATAGCGTTCTTAAAGGTTCCTCTTCAAAGTATTAAAAGTTCTGTTTCAAGAAACAATTGTCTTTTGTTCGAAATTTAATTTCTTAGAGTTGTGTACTTAGTACTTTATCATAGAGATTCTCGCTGTCCTTGTAATTTCCTCATGCTGATTAATATCTGCTCTTTTGGAAGCTAACGAACACTTACTTCCTTTCGTTTTACTTTGCCGGACCTACAAATTTATTATTAAGACAAGAATCGTCAGCATAATTACCGAGATTGGAACTGATGACATCAGGAAGGTCTTAAGAAAGATAAGAAACAATTTAGGTACAAGGATAAAGCTCTGGGTCACCTCCGTATTAATGTGATAGGATCTAGGAGAGTGTGGCCGTTCAACACGACTTTCATTTTATGATTGGGATATTAATGAAGATAGAGGGCTTGGAGAATTTAACACTCGCGGGACATATCGATGGCAAGTGGTCAAGAGGGACGGGTAACTTCCCTAAAACATTTGTTTGAACGGATGGCAGAACAAGAACAAAACGGATGGTAAACGGCTAAAACACTGCTTAGAGCTACGAAGGACAGGAAGTTATGGCGAGCCATCATTTTCACTCTTGATGGGACACGGTACATAAAGAAAATTGCCAATTCTTTTTTTCTTTCTTTTTCTTATTAGTCATACTTAAAACACACACACACACACACACACACTTTCTCTCTCTCTCTCTCTCTCTCTCTCTCTCTCTGCGTAAATGTCTCCCCACTTCTGTCTTTCCTTATGTAATTTGAGCATGCGTAAAAATGCTGAAGAAACATAATTCATCTCATCGGAACATGGGATGTTATTTTACATTCCTTATTTGCCGATTGAAGAGGAAGACAGAGTACAGGAACCATTGTTGACCCTAATATTGTACTTTGTCGACCATTCATTTCTCTTCTATTAGACCGGATATGTCTCTTTATTAGCACATATCCTGTCATTTTATTAATTGATGGGAGGTAGCCATTTGCCCGATAATTTTCTGCGAACGGCGCGACAATTTACATCCTTCATCCATTTTCTATCTCTCTATCTCCTCCCCTTAAATTTAAAAAAAAAATTCTTTTGACTCTTCTTGTTTAGTTATTCTGTCATTTCTTTCTTTGTATGATCTGTCTGCTTTCTGTCTCCAAATCTGTTTGCTAGCTGAAGTATTCGTGGCTTCATCTCCGACACTCGTTTGAATTATCGTATTTTTCGGGGTCTTTTCTTTGTTTATAAGGACATGTTCCTATCTTTTTATTACTTTGCTTGGTTTTTTGAAAGGCATCTCATGCTTTACTCTGTACTTACTGGCTTTTGACGTCCCAAATACATATCTCACACCTTGGAGTGTCTCTTTTGCTGACAACCATGCATTCTATCTTCATTAGACCTTTATTCTCGTTTTCATTTATTACCTTGTTTAAGAGTTTTTGAGTTTTCTAGTGTCATCATCAGGATTGAAGCCTCAACGATTTTACCTAATTTGACCAATGTAATTTCTAATTGTGTAATTGTTCAACTGGTCAATTATATAGTTAAGTATTTATGGAGGAATATTTCGCAAGTATAATGAATTCAGTCGTCATCAGTGTATCATCTCTGGACCTCTGTGCCTTTTCTAAGGTACAATTAGTAGATAACTACAATAAAAGATATTAAAAAAAATATATATATGAACATTTTGCCCTTGTTAAGATTTCTTTCTGGTCACCTTTTTCTTTCTCGTCCACTCTTGTGATTGTTCCACAAACACACACCTCCCCACACAGTGTTTCAATATAATCAAATGTCTGAGCTGATGTATTCGCGTCAATACTTGTAGTTTCTGTTCTGTTTAAGTTACGAGTAGCTCAGATGTAATCCCTCTCTCCGTTTCATTTTTTTTCTATCTCTCCCCCCTTTTTTTTTCAGAATTATGATACATACACACACACACACACGTATTGTACGCACGAACACTACTTGACAAGACAGATACACCTGAGGCCTGTTTAACAAATAGAAAATAAACACAAAATTTAAAATAGCAAAATTTTCTTTTTCTCTTCCGATATTTCATTTTCTGAAGAAGCTTTAATAAAAGCGGAACATGTTAGATTTATAAACGTTTCTTATCCTATGCTCTCTCTCTCTCTCATATATATATATATATATATATATATATATATAATGAGTTACACCACAGAATTTGTGAAGAGCGGCGCTATGTGGAGTCTAATTCGTCACCGACAGTACAGTTGGCATGGCGCTTGCATCGTATCGTAACGGCCGGATTCAATTTTCGGTAGTGGATGCTTGAGCCGGCTTCTAATGCTCTGGCTCGTGGGAGGCACAGTCTTATGGGTAAGGGAAACTCGGATGTGAAGAGCGGCGCTAGATCGAATCTAATTCGTTACCTCTTCGTCCGGGTTGCATTGCATTCTATTGAGATTTCTTCTAGACTCGATGATTTACTTATATATATATAACTTCAAACATTACAGACGCTCTGATTTTTAAACAGTGTTCATTTCGTTTATCGGTCAGCGCACTCGAGAAAACTGAATGAAGAAAATATGCCCACTGACAGGATTCGAACTTGCGTCCCCTTTTGCACGCCAGAGCAGACGATGGTTTCTCCTGCTAAAAATAACGCCTGAAGTAATAAAAATGTCGAATTAAAAAAAAAAAGGCCAAATACATAAAAATAATCATATACGTGTTTAATTTTGAAAGTTCTCAACCTTTCTCATCTCGGTTCTCAAAGCAATATCGTCAGTTACACTGATCGGCCGTTTTTGTGACCCTGCCTTCCGTCACTTGTCTGCTAGTGCAGTATGTAGAGGAATAAGATGGCTATCGCTACTCATCAAGTGATAGCAAGTCTGTTTAAATATCGAGTATTTATTTATTATTATTATGATAATGAAAACATCAAAGATATCTCGAAATAAGTAATAATAACGTGTTCTTTTCTTTGCAGAGTTGCGTGTGGGCCGTGGCAGACCATAATAATCAATTTAACGGTGGTTAAATTCTGAATGCAGAGGCAACGTTGTTGAAAATGAAAAATTGAAGACTGTCTATTCTCAAGAACATTAAAAATAAAAAACGTTGCGAAATGGAATTACGACTCCAAAATTTGAATGTTTAATGCTGGAAAGCCAGGATTAAAATGTTGGAAAAGGAGTCAGCGTAAAAAAAAGCCTGGAAATGGGAGAGGCAATAGGGGGGGAAAAAACGTAAAGAAAGAAATATAACGGGCGTGAGAAAGAAAGAAAGAAAAAAAAAACGAATAGACAAAATAAATTAAATAAATAAACTTAAAATAAAGACTAATCATTTTATATATAAAAAAACGCGGTTCATTCTAAGAGACAGCAATTTCTTTGAATTTTTTTTTTCTTTTTTGTGACAGGCATTTGTCCTCACTGAACAATGACTATCTGAAAAAAAAAACAATTATAAATTCTTTTTAATTTTTTTTTCTCCAGAAAAACTCACAAAAGTGTGTACGTGTGATTATATATAAACATACAATAATATAAAATAATACTAACCTAAACTTAATTGTTTTTCTTATTTATCTTCCAAAGATTGAAACTATTTCCTTAACAGTTGACTTCGGTTTCATGAAGCTGATCTAGGAATACTTCATAAATTAAAAAGAATTCTTTAATGTGAACCGATTACTTAAATAATTTCTATGTTAACCCATTTGTTAATTTTTTTTTTTTTTTTTTATTCCAGATGACTTAAACTGTTTCAATTTAGAAATTTAAAACACATATACACACACACATTTGTATATATGACAAAATATAGTTTCAAGGTATGCTATATTTATAGGTTAAAGTACTAAATATCAGGGATAGACCGTATGTAGATATAAAAGTGTAAATTGAATTCAACACCCAGAGGAGACGGTCCGTTTCATGTTAAACGCAATCGTCAGGCCAGATATTTATTGCACAAATGTACAAATACGCCACAACGGCAAAATTGGGAAGTGGGAGGCTAGACCTCACTTGTCCTATTGATAACTTAGCTGGCTTCAATCACTGACGTAGTCGTTCAAATATTGTTCCTCTCACCAAAATATCTCTTCTATACAACACTGCCTTACACTGACACCATAATACCACATTTACTCTAAGAATTCTCACCTCATCCCATATGTACAGTCTTTGTGGAGGGCAGGGTTTATAAAATCCCTAACATTCATGATGTAACAATATTTACACAACTAAACAAAGCGATGGTAGTAAAGGGAGCAAGTCTAATTATGGCAGAGATAACAGTTAACCGGAAGAAAAATACTGTGGGATTATTAAAATTACACACCCCGAATCGTCAGGCCATGTGCATTGTGTTTTTGCTCGACTATATATATATATATATATATATATATATAAATATCATATATATATATATAAAATATCATTGTTGGGTAGTCTATTGTATTATTCTAACTGTTATTTTGATGGGCGTTAACGGTTTCGAATTATTCTGGGGGCTATTTATTATTGATTATTTTATTGTTATTCCGTTTAGAATACAAGAACAGACTACCCACAATGCACCACTGACTTGTGTATATATAGAAAAATAAAATATATAAATCTAGTTTCGATATTAAATAAATCAACATTACAAAATTAGTTAAGTGTTAGATAAGTTCAACATGGATGTTTAGTTTGATAAAAAAATGTTTTACTTAAACAACTTCTATATGCCATATCCCTTCAGGACGTTAGCGAACATGGCTCTCCACCATTTCCTGTCCTTTGTAGCGCTTAATAACTCCCTACCATCTATTCGTTTTCATAACTATGATTACTTCGAATAAGAATTCCCAAATGACTTGGTGTGTTTGTAAAATGATCTTCTATGTGTCATGTCCATTCAGGACGTTGGCGACATGGCTCTCCACAATTTCCTGTCCTTTGTAGCACTAAATAACTTTTGTCTTTTTGCCAACTCTCTCAAACCCTGTTCTGCCATCGATTCGCTCAAGCTTGCCAGGTAGTTTGTGCATTGTTTTCTTTCCTCTGGCTCTCTTAACTTCCAGACTGTCCTGTGAGTATCAAATTTTCCAAGCCCTCTTTCCTCATTATGTGTCCCAAACATTTCACCTATCTCCTTTCAGGTGTATGTATAAGTGTCCTTTTTGTTGCCATTGTCTCTAGAACTTCATCGTTGCCCACATGTTGAGTCCATGAATCTTTCAGCATCCTTCTGATGCCTCAAGTCTCTTCTTCATATGTGAGATTGTCCAGCATTCATTGCCATATGGGAGAACCGATATTACATAACAGCTCAGTACTCTTTTATTTGTTTCTTATATTTTTCTGTTTCTTAATACTTTGCTCAGCTTTTGGAAGGCATCTTTCGCTATCCCAACGCGCCTTCGGTTTTCCGTATCGCACTTTCCTTCCTCTGTTAATATGCTTCACAAATATCTAACTGGGCTGTTCCTTTTGCTAACAACAATTCAGTCTTCTTGCAATTGATGTTTAGTCATTTCTTTTCGCTTTCCTTCACTACCTTCTGTCGGAGTTAAAACGCTTGATGTCTTGCATAAAAATACATGAATGATTATATTAAAACAAATTTCCTAAATTTCACTCATTTTTTAAGTCTCTTACTTTCCAATCATCATACTTATTATAAAACCCAGATTGTGTGTGTCTGTCTGTTCGTTTATATATTGGATCGGATTTCCTACATTTTTCAACCGATTTCAACAAAACTTCACAGGACTACGTAAAATTACCTTGCGGTGGTTCTGACAGCGCCAAAAATTGGAAAAACAATTGTTTTTGCACGAAATCAATTTGAAAACACGATTAAGAGGCATCACTGTCACGAGAATGAAAGGGGGACAACTCATATCGAGTTTTACTTATTATAAAAACCCAGGTTGTGTGTGTGTGTGTGTTCGTTTATATATGGGATCGGATTTTCTACATTTTTCAACCGATTTCAACAAAACTTCACTTTTTTTGGCAGGTAGTGTTTCTTATTGTCTTGCACACTTTTTTCTTTATTTTTACATTCAGAATGCTTTAAAAATTCCATTTACAAGGTAATTGTTTATAATAAAATTCTATTCAATCGGTAGACTACTCATAACGATTGAAAACAATGTTTTTGTTTGAGTTTGACCAATTCGTAAAAAAATAAATAATTAAAACAATGCGTGTCCGTCACCCTTAAACAGTAATCTTTGTCAATTTTATTTTTCAGTCTTTATGATGGTCTATACTTGATCTATTTCTTACTGTTACATCCCCGGGCAACGCCGGACTCAACTGCTAGGGATTAATATTTCCACTTTTTCAACGCAAAAAAAGTTGAATAAAAATTCAATTGACAGATACTGATAGTATACGTTGCTTTCAAGTTTTGAACGTTATTTCTACACCGCCATACTTTTATTTTTTTTTAAAAAAAAAAAAGCAACTGTATTCAAATTTGACTAAATCTTAAAGCACTCTGTAGGTAACTATTTTTGCCAATCAAAATGTTAATCCTGCCAATATAAGTTGAATTTCTTGGTTGTGTAGTCATATCCTTCTATGGCAACACCTAAAACAATCTTGACTGAAATTGAAAGTCGGGCTACTACAATTTCAAATATAGTGTTTTATATATTTAGTTTTATATATTTTGAGGGGATTCCATATACAGTAAAAGGGGAAATTATATTTATAAATGACGCAGAGTGTTAAATGTTAAGCAACTGATGTCAGTGTGGTTTGAGCAACTGGAGAGGGACGAAATCGAACATTTTACTATGTTATTTCATTTTGTATTCATTAAGTCCAGCGATGCTATGGGTTGAGATGTATCTAAAGTATTGTTTCTATTTATAATAGAAAGAAAAAAAAAGCATAACAATGTAAACAATTTAGGATTTTGACCAGGACCCGGTTGCTTGATTTTTGTGCAAGAATTAGTACTTAAATTGTTTATTTTATTTTCTAATTGAAATTTTTCTATAATCATTACCAGTCAATGTAAACAATGTAAGTACGAATTCTTGCACAAAAATCAAGCAACCGGGTCCTGGTCAAAATCCTAAATTGTTAAAAAATAAATAAATAAAAAATCTTCGGTTCACATTGGAATTTAATTCAGACTCTTTTAATTGACGCAAATTTTTCGAATGACTCACGATTTTTTGTTTTTATTTGGTACCATTAAATGTGTTTTCAGTTTAATAGATCTGCGAGTTAGAAGAGCAATAATTCACTTTAGATTTTTATATTCATTATTGATTTCAGTATTGTCGATGGCTAAATACTGGTTGTGACAATTATATTCCAAGTGTCTGACTTGAACGTCAATTACGTTTATTTTATTTTCTAATTGAAATTTTTCGATAATCATTACCAGTCAAATATGGCGTTTATATTTGTAAAATATTTTCCAATTGCATTATGCTCAATAGTATGTCTATATTTCTGAGATGAGGTATTATGTACAGTATTTACATTAGTCAGACTATTGTCCTCATCTCGCCATATTTGTCACAACGTTTCGGCCGTTGTACGCTCCGGCCTTCTTCAGGTGGTTGGAATTTCGAACTGAACCCTTTATTTCGATCACTGGGGTAGACTGTTCTAGTGCCATGTTTGATGGATGTCAGTTATCTCCTGCTAATTTTCCCTCTGAAATGCCTTAACCAGGTATTGAACTCGCCTTCTTTGGGTCTGTCACTGGATCTAACCGACGCCTTTATCCACTGTGCCATGTGTCCTTGAGGACATCTTTGTTGGAACTTCTGAGTATTATAAACCTAATGTTTTCAGCATCATTTTTTACTAGTGCTCATATTGCAAAATCTCCTGAGCCAACCAAGCATAAAAATAAATACAATATGGGAACCAGTAATAAGGAGTGCCAGAGAAAAGCAATGATAACAAAGTTGCAATATGAACTCTGGTAAAGACATGCAATGATAACAGCAAAATTGCAATTGAAAACGTTGTGACAAATATGGCGAC